AAAAACCCCATGGGACGGCCAACTTTGAATGTCTCCCCTGCATTTAATTTTAAGGGTATCGTCATTTCAAAGGCCAGGTTTTACTTGACTCAATCTCTATTATTGACCGGTCTTTAAATTTTTTCTCTAATCAATTTAAAAAAGGTAGCTGAGTTTGCGAAAATTCCGGATTTGCAAACTTATTCCGGAGGCTGTTTGAATACAGTCATTTTGTTTTTGAATGGAATTAAACATACTCAAATATATTTATATATTTTAACAGGATTATATAAAAGATGTAAAATTATGTCTTCTTCTTTTCTTTCTTCTTCTATGATAACGTTTATATTTCCTTTGCAATAAAGTGGATCGATTTTATGACCAGTTTTTCAAATATCTAAATTGTCAACACGTAACAGTAGTGGACACAATGATCTTGAATGACCAGAAAAATATAACAACACTTAAGTCTTGAACCCGTTTTAACAGCATGGCATAAAGGCGTTATAAAATGAATCAGTAAAGAAATGGTTCCACCTTTCTATGATTAATCGATGGATTTTTTTTAGCTGATAAAGCAGTAGAGTCTATTACAAAGAAGATAAGGTTTGGCTTATGAAACCGAACTCGAACGCAAATAATTACCTTTGACTTATATATCTATAACTCGTATTCAGTGCGATCCTATCAAAAATAGAAAAAGATATTCACGCTATCACACTTCAACAAATGAACAATTAAACACTTCATATTGCGTTTCTAAAGATCAATTTTCAAATGAATATGCAAAGGCGACAAAAGCCCGCGGTATTTGTTCCAGGTGTTTAATTTCACGTATGAGAAGCCTCACCTTTATTTCCCGCGGGCTAGAGTCTGCAGGGTATTGATATGCGATTAATTTTAAAGGCAGGGAGGAGCACATAACCTGTTTTCGGTACATGTAGCAGCAAGTGATCTGTAAACAGTACTTGATTGGTTAGTCAAAGTTGTAAATTTATTTTTTAAATAAATTATTAAAAACTATACTTCATGAACAGTTTCAAATAGGTACAAGAAAAATATAGAAGTGCATTAAACATATTAAAAGAATTAAATGTTAATATGAAAATAGTATTGTAGTCTGTATCATCAAGACGTCTGCAAAAGAAAGCTCAAACGTCTGGATGGTACAGATGAGTGTCCTCAGGTCTCCGGTCTTCGACGGTCACCGGTCTATTGATTCTATATTCTCGATACAATTTTTTTAACAATTTTGAAAGCAGTTAAATGTAATATCTTTAAATTATTAAAACTTATCCCCGTTGAAAACCTCATTTAACTTGTTACACATTGGAATACATTGAAATTCGTTGGAATGCAGAATGAATTGCGTTGATATTGGAAGCTTTCTACTTAAATAAAGATTGATTGAATTTATCTCTTTATCTCAAGTTCAAATCGGCTAAATGTTAATACATCCACTGAAGGTTAAATATATACTATGCTCATCTTTTATATAAATTAGATAAAATATTATATAGAAGATATGTATTGAAATCTAGTAAATTCTACCTGAATGTGTTTTATTTAAATAGGTCAATGTATAACCCATGTTTGGGAAGCTGCATTCCCTGCAAACATTAATTCAAAAGAGGAATTTGTATTATGTCATGTAGAGCGAAATTATTTGTTTAGACTCACGTTGGTATGTGCTTTTTCAAATCTGCCTTTTTAGAAGTTTTCAATGTACCTAGCATGTCAAGAAGTGTTTCGTTAAATTGTTCAGTAATTCCGTTGCTCATGGGGTGATATATTAAAGTCTTTGTCCTTATCATGTAATCAAACATAATTTTTAGTGATCTCTGATTGAAAGTTTGCTCCTTGATCAGAATGTGTTGTTGTAAGAATTTGGTAATGCTCAATAAAGTTGTTATAAAAGACTTCTGCTGATGTTTTTGCAGTTTGTTTCTTTGTTGGAATTGTCATAGCTAATTTTGTAAATAAATATATAAGGGACACAACTGTGAACATTTGTTTAACGGCTAAAATATATACTACTTTTTAACAAATGATTATCTACATCAGCTATTTTTCGCAGCCAATAAATCTTTTTCTCAAAAAATTGCTGAAGTTCTTTCCCTTCCAGGATGGCCTACAACGTCAAGAAGTCCTTTTAATATGTCATTGCAGTAACATGTTGGTATAACATGTTGATCTAAGTTTTGTTCTTCCAAATGTTTATATAAAATGCTTCTTTTTCATATCAAATTTCTTGAAGTTTCTTCTCATTAAGATGTTATCCCTGTCTATGTTTTAATTTGGTAATTTGTTATCTAGTTGTCTATCAAGGTCTTTAATGTCTCAAAGAAAATTTTTAAAAATGGTTTGATTTAGTAAATGGGACTCCAAAAAACTGTAAAACGGGCATAAGATTAGAATGTTACCATAGAAAAAAACACGCATTTTATAAAGATGACAAATATCATAAAAAGGTGTGTTCGCATTAGGTGTTAGCGGAGTCACACATTCGCACTGTTCCCCTAATAAAATATTCTTTTATTTCATCTCATTTATACATATCTAATTTTCATATAAATTTACGCACCTCGATTATTAATTATCAGAACAATGATAAGAAACAACGTGAGTGTCAACAGTCTCATTATCATGTCCCCAAATATGTTTTGATAAGCAATAATGCAGTAGCAGTGGCTGAGACAACACATTAAAACAAGATATACGGTAAGAAATTCTTTTATATTCTACAACAGTATTTAGAAGCTTTAAAATATATGCTTGTTTCCGTGTTGTACTAGCAAATAAAAATAAAATAAATAAAGGTTTTTGTTTTACAAATAAGCATAGAGAGAATAGCCAGAAACGATGTTATTTTTTTTTGAATAAGCCTTACCTGTAATACATGTACATGAATTGTGATTATTATCCGAAAATTAAAAAGTAATCGTGTCTTATTTGTAATGAACATAATGATCTAAAGGCAACAAATGTTAGGAAAAAGCTTTACCATTTCAATGTACTTTTCAAATCAATCAAAATCCTCAATTTGATTTTTATTTGATTTTCTTACAAGTTTTATCAATATACCTTTCTACTCTTGCTACGCTTATTATATTGAATATGTTTGGTCAGATTTCATTTTCATCATTTATGAATTTTTTCTTCAAACTAAGTGAAGACTGTACAATGCAAAAAAAAAATCACGTTTTTTCTGGCTGAATTAAATAAGCATTGTTTAAAGTACTTGTCACAAGTATGAAGATTAGAATATAACTATATTCACTTATAGATATTCCGTAATTTTAACAGTCTCAAATGTATTGCTTTTTATCTTGTTTTTTATGCATATACTCATTTAACGTGTTATATGTTTAACAGACTTGGCTCATTTATTTTCTGAATCGCCAATCCAATTCTTGCTTGCTGTATCAGGTAAAAATGATACTATCCGAACATACATGCTTAAGCCTTAGTGATATATGTTGATAAAAGGACTCTTCACTTATTCGCCATAAAATACATTATAACTTACATCTGATATTGATTTTTGAATGTTCTTCCATTAAAACTACTATCCCACACATAGTAGTTTTAGCGCTTTTGAAATAAAATGTTAAAGTTTTCACCACAGGCTCGTACATTTATATTAAACTAGATGACTAATACATGTCTTGTCTGTTGAAACAACATCTAAGTAAAGTATATTGCAATGTTTATCTTGCTATAATTTTAAACCGCTATAACGTTTTATTTTGTTAATATTGACTTCGGTGTATAAACACACCCGTTAACTGGTTCTAAGTAGATCCGTTGGTTGCCCGTAGAACAGTGGTGCGCTAAGTAAGATTTTTATCTGCAATGGACTTCTGCACAGTATATTCCATACAATTATGTCTATAAAAAAGAGACAAAAGAAGACAATATTTTGATAATACTGTTTCAAACTGGCATTTATATGCTATTCAAATTCTACCTAGATAGAGCTGTCCTACTCGCGACATGATAACAGGCGTGATAGTAGGCGTGTTTATATTATATGTCAAGTGAAACTTAACAACCGTTACGTCACAATTATCTCGGGGAAACTGCATAGTTTACTGGTATGCAAGTTAAATAACTGTGAACAATATGTTGATGTTTTAATACCCGTTTTGTGTGGGAGAGTAACTGTAAGCAAACTCTTAACTGACAAAATGTCAAGATGTATACTTGACGTGTAAAATGCTTTTTGTTCAGTATATTTACACATGACAGTGTGCATTAATTAGATATGTGTTTACTTACTTACTCATTATACGAACACTTCTCAAAATTGTCGGAAATCTTTGATTTAAACATATTGTATACCAAAACATACACAACACATTACGTGTATATAGATTGTATGTACATTCAGCTATTTACATTATGAAAATTGATGAGAACGAAAGATATCACTTTTTTAATTTTTTCACTAAATAGTCTTTATGTCCTTTGCAGTATATTTAATGCAAATCACAAATTCTAAAACAAAAGTAGATTTGAAATTGATAAATTTTGCTATCAACATACATTCAATTGAAACATTTTTTTCCACAATAACCATTTACAGCAAATGTGTCCTGTAAAGGAGTTGTAGGAATGTGGTAACATTGCTCCGTACTCCACGATGCCCACTCAAATACAAAAACAATAAGAAAGTAAATTAAAATAAATAATTGGAAATATTGGAAATAAATTAAACAGTATTCGGAAAAAATTGAAGAGAAATAACACCAAAAACATCACATTATTGTCAGTTTAATTCAAGGAAATTACCAACTACACAAACGCTTAACGATTCTTCAATGTCTTGTAGATGGCTTGATAATATATTCATGAAACTGCTTTATAGCTGTTCATTTTGTTGTTCTTTTAACATAAACCATACAATTATTTTTAATACAGATTAAATAATCTTTTATGGTAAAAACATTACTGGTCTTTACAAAAAGTCTGATAAGATAACTTCTGTTGTTTTTGTTTTCAGATAGGCAGACATGGACGGGCGTACTATGGACTTATGGACACACTGTTTAAAATCAGTTTAGTGTTTGAAAAGAGCAATCCAGGGGAGTGTTGAAAAAACGATGACAATACTTCGACAACCCGATCTAATGACATAAGAAAAAATAGATAGTCAAGGTATCAAATAAAAATGGCAGTTTTAGACCAGTTTATCGAGTATAAGATATATTTGTACTTACTACTGATAGGTATACCCTGCCTTATAACTTTCGGAACAATCGGTAACACCTTGTCTCTTATTGTTCTTGTTAAGCCTAAACAACGACGTTGCTCAATTTCCAGAATTTTAAGTGCACTTGCTGTCACAGATCTATGTTTTCTTTGGATAGCTGGTCTCATTATTTGGCCACGTGCTGCATTTGGGATAAACGTCAGTGATTCTTCGGATTTTGTATGCAAATGTCTTACATTCATGGCTGCCTCTCTTGCACAGATATCAGTTCTGCTGATCGCAACAATATCACTAACTAGGCTTATATCCGTCTTGCTACCACACAAAGTTAAATCTATTTGTTCTTTACGAAACATAAATATTTGTATTACCTTGATAGTTAGTTTGTGCTATCTGGTAAACATTCATATACTTGTTGGCTTAGGTCTGAAAGAAGAAGGACACTGCGCCAAAATCGAAGGAATCTACAATACGTTAGTTGTGAAAATGTTGGTTAATCTGGAAATTGCATTCTTTATCCTTATACCAGTCGCATTTGTGATCGTTGCAAATATCTTGACCGGAGTACGAATTGCGTTCAGAACCATCAAACCCGTTGTCATGAAACGTTCACAGAAACAGCAATCCTTCAGAACGACAAAGATACTGACCATTTTGAGCATCGTTTTTCTCGTATCTACTATACCTGTAGCTGTCTTTTATGCATCATATAGCGGCCAGCAGCTAAACCACGGAACTAATCACCAAGATGCAGTAATATTACTGTTCTGGGGCGCGGCATCGTTTGCCTACATGACCAACAGTGCGATCAATTTTGTTCTGTATTTTCTTCTTGCTTCAAAATTCCGAAAAGAGGTAAAAAAAATGTTCAGCTGTAAAAAAAAACAAGTAACATGTTGCTTAATCGCACAACTGTAAGGGTCCATCCGGCACGCACAATTGACATAATATAAAACCGTTAAGTGTTGAATTAGAAAACACATGAAAAAACGTTTACGGAGCTGACAATATATGATTTTAATAAAAATGTTACAGCAAGCATTTCGACATGTACGAGGTTTGGAAGTTTTGTAAAGTACATGTACTATGTTTATCTTGAAGCACAAACAAACACTCGGTTGTGCAATACATTTCAGGAGACTATTAGTAAACTTACTTCTTGACCTTTAGCGCAACGTACGCAGGCATCACTTTAATAGAAACCAAATGAATCTTTAATGTAAATGGTTTCAACCATTGGATTACGGCCTTTGAAATTCTAATTATCCGAAAGACTTGTTAATATTCGCAGTATGAAAGAAAGATCACTACCACTTAATATAATTGTAAACGATGCTACCACTTGACTTGTGGGATTGCATCAAATTTCATTGTTTTCTTTTTAATTTTCAAATTACTATACGTTTTTACATATTATGGAATAAAAATTATCTTTGTTAATGAACGATCGGCCGTTCTACTCAGTTACAATCTCGTGGCTGAAATAATATAGAGGATCTCTGAGAGTTATGAATTAAGTATTTACTCGCCTGTGAAAGTCATTTCTGTGACGAGGGTAATAAAGCATACATCATGCAAACACTCACACTCGGTGCTTGCGTATACATTTCCCGGGTACGCCTTTCCTTATAAATTTGTTATAACTATTATATCGCTGTCAATGCCTTTGTGATTTATTTGATTCTAGAAGGGCTTAGTAGGGAAACAATCACATATGACTGTGTATTATATAAAATGGGCAAAATGTGTTGATTGTTATTTTGTGTGTTTTTTGTGTCGCCTCTACGGAGTAGTGGCGACATATAGGGATTACTTCTCCGTCGTCTGTCTGTCCGTCCGTCCGGCCGCACTCACAGGAGAGTAATTATGTGGCTAGAGGGACAATAGATAACTGTTCTTTCTCTTTGATGTCATTCATTCCGTAATGCTTTTATGTGGCTATTTTCTTTTGCGTGGCTAAAAAGAACAATAGAGAGAACAATAAAGTAGCCACATCATTACTGTCCTGTGAGAACGTCCGTCTGTCTGTCCGTCCGTCACAAAACTTGTCCGAACTACTCCTCATAAACTACTGGTGCAATTTCATCCAAACTTTACAGGAATGATCAGTACCAAGTCTAGTTGTGCATATTGTCAGCATTTTCCGGTTCAATGATTTTTGTCAGAGTTATGTCCCTTTAATAATTTTTAATTTTAAAGTTTGTCCGGACTACTTCTCTTATACCACTAATGCATTTTCAATGAAACTTTACAGGATTGATCTGTAGCTCAAGTCCTTGCGCATATTGTACGGGTTTCCGGTTGAATGGTTTTTGGCCGAGTTATAGCCCTTTGATAAAAAGGTGTTTTTTTGTGTGTTGCCAGATACGCAAAAGCTTGTCCGGACTACTCCTCATAAACTACTGGTGCAATTTTATCCAAACTTTACAGGAATGATCAGTACCAAGTCTAGTTGTGCACTGTCCGTCTGTCTGTCCGTCTGTCACAAACTTTGTTCCAACATGAAATTGGCCATCATGAGGCGACACATGTGATTACTGATTGCTCTTGTATATACTTTACAGAACAAACATTTTTGTAACTTAACTATCAGTTGATTTGGTGTTGTTGTTTTCATTCGTTTGTTTATTTTGTTTTGTATGAAAGGGATTTTCCCTTTGGTCACTACTAAGCATTAGGAACTTCTCAGATTGTATGTAATTTCACATGATGTGTTGTCAAAAACCCGTTTAATATTGTGTTATTATTTATTTTGAATTAGGAAAAAAACAACATGTTTTTAAGCATCAGTGGTAAATGTTTGTGGATGATAGCAGTTTATGCTTTGTTATATTATATACCAATTTCTCAGATTATATGTTATTTCACATGATGTGTTAGTAAAATGATGTGTTGTCAAAAGCCCGTTAAATGTTGTGTTATCATTCATTATGAATACGGTTAATATATTTGTTTGTTTAACCAGCAGTGTAAGATGTTAGTGAATGATAGTACCTAAGGTTAAGTTATATAACAAACCAACACATGCATTATCATTTGGTATGGAGAACCCAACATCGTGCTTTTAAGTTTATATCAATATTGTGGTTTTACAATCATATTGAAGTATTTAGTATCTTTCCTTGTGTCGCATTTAAATCGAATGAATTGTTATCAACTGAAGTAATCAAAACCACAGACTTACTCGAGAGTTTTGTCTTAATGCAAGACTCTAAACATGTCGGGATGTGATGACTCTGTTGGAATTAACAACAACTCATATAATTCTGAAATGTGGTAATTGTTTTTTTAAATATATGCAAGTCATACAAAAAATGTCTAGGTTACCTGGCGCGCAATTGTAACCTTGTAACCTTTGTTCGCTCAGGTGAGTTTTAATGGCTTTAATTATCTTCCCTGATAAACAATGGACAAAGAACAAGCAGGGGTTTAGTGTTAGATGCCACCTGTCAAAGACTTGTTCAGTTCTTTTCACACTCGTTTTATGCTTTAAATTAAATGTTACGATCGTCCTAGTACGAAAAACATAAAATTGACGTCATTATATTTTATTTATTTCAAAACGTCATTCCATCGATGTTTTTCTGATCGGACAGTCCTGTCAAATCTTAACTTATACGCGACAAAACAATTGTTCTACAAAGCTAAACAAATGAAACGACGTGTTTCTCAGTGTCATGAAAAAAACTTATAAACTACTCACAAACCTCCGAAATAATTATTGATGAAGTTGATGTAAAACTTCATATAAGCCAATGGACACTCGAGAGAATTTTTTACATGGCACTTGTACATCTCTTTAAAACAGGAAATTATTTGAACAATAACCCGTATATAAAGAGATACACGATAATGTTTTAGACAATTCGGTGCTAAGCATGGATTCTTTTTATTTTGTTGCCGTGGTAATAAGTTTATTTAGTGATAGTGCGTTTGGGTATGTATTAGTCATTCATATTTTGACATGTTTTTAATTGAATATTTTTGGTTTTAATTCATACCTAAATAAAAGTTATTGAAAAACTACAACATTATAAAATGGGGGAAATAAGACGTGTACATAAATTTAAACACATACTTATGAATTAATCAAATTAAGTAAGTAAAGGCGGAATACAAAAGACGATAGGGACTTTTAAAAGTCACGTATTCATGAACAAAAATATACAATTTCACGAAGTCACAATTTTAATTTCACGAATTAGTTGATGCATACATGATTTTATCTTGTTCATGAATTTACGATTTCAGCTTCTTAAATTCACGACTTTAACGTCATGCATTCGTAAATTCATCTTCTTGGCTTTAACTTCACAAACTTACTTTTTTAGCTCTACTATGTTTTTTGTAAATTTAAATAAAAGTTCATAAAACAACTAAATACATATCATTTTTAATATTGAATTTAATTCATGAAGAATAAAAATCGTTAATTCATGAGGTTTGAATTTGAGAAGGTTAGATTAATAAACGTTAATTCGATGAAGTTTAAATCGTGCATTTATTTACTAGTTGAAATTACGAGAATGTGGATTCGGAGTTGAAATCATGAGCTCATGAACTCAATGTGAAATAAAGGTGAATAGTGTATGTGCTTATTAGAGTTAAGCAGATAAAGTGTCCCTGAAAGTCTTTAAGCGTAAATCTGTTATTTATTTATTAGATAATATCTACTGCACATTTATGACTTTATTGTTGATAATTTAGCAGGTATTAAAGTTCATTTAAACTGTTTGTAAAATTATATTACATCATATTGAATGTATAAAGTTAATTATTTTCAGATCTTTTAATATGTAAACAGATGAGTTTTTTTGTTGTTGTTTTTTTGTATCCAGCACAAATATTGACTATTGTCTATAAACCTGTTTAAAATGTTTTAAAAAATCAGTTCTTTGTCCACTTTTGTTATTTTATTAGTTTGAGCATGGAATACAATAATTAGCATAAAAGTATTTTAAAAAATAAATAAAAAAGCGAATACAATTTAAAAAAAAAATGTATTGGTCATAAGGTATGCTAAGTAAAACAACATAATATGTGTACAAACTGTCTACGAAGTAAAAATAGATAGGACTGGATTGACAAAAACACCACCATGCCTACCGCTAGAAAGGTAGCGGCAGCAGCCACAACAACATCAATAACAACACAATCACCACCACCACCACCACCAACAACAACAACAAAAAAAAACATAAAAAAAAAACAAAAACAGAAACTCAATTAATTTAAGACATAACATGTTTTAAAAGATATTTTGCGCACAAATATCATTATTTACTATTTGTCAGGATTTTTGTTGTTGTATTGTTTCAATAAATGAAAAGTTAAACATAATATTATGCAACTAAACCAAGTCAAATAGTAACATTTGCATATACGTGTGTCTTTGAATCACAAGCTTTTAGAAAATAACAAATGGTTTAACTAATCCATCCAAAACCATTATTTCCCTCATCTTTTAAGATTATGTTAATTAATTATTAATGAAGTTTTTTTCCACTTAATATTACAAATATATTGTGTCTGTAGGCTATTACTTTAAATTGTTTATTGTGGAACCAACTACGCGATTGATAGTCAATGGCTTGTATGGTTTATACAGGGATGATTGATGAAGAGTATTATAATTCATATTGCTTGACTTTATCATGTTTATCTTAAGGTTATTGTTTTTGACATGACGTGACTGAATATATTTTTTATCGAGATTTGTGTATGTGTAACATTAAATGTGAGTTTCTTGCAAAATTTCTGATCATTCGCTGCATCTGTATTGCCAATAATATTTTTTTTTTTATGTTGACAGTCTATTTTTTGCTACAGAATGTGGTAAGGTTAACATAGTGTCTATGAAGTAAAAATATCTTTGATAGGCTAGAACTGGATTGACAAATAACACCATCATGCCTACCGCTAAAAAGGTAGCAGCAGCAGCCACAACAACATCAATAACAACACAATCACCACCACCACCACCAACACCACCACCACCAACAACAACAACAACAAAAAAACAAAACATAAAAAAACAACAGAAACTCAATTAATTTAAGACATAACATGTTTTAAAAGATATTTTGCGCACAAATATCATTATTTAGTATTTGTCAGGGTGTTTTTTTGTTGTATTTTTTCAATAAATGAAAAGTTATACATACTATTCTGCAACTAAACTAAGTCAAATAGTAACATTTGCCTATTCGTGT